GCCGTAAGTACTGTGTGTATAGATAGCAACCCCCAGGAACATCGTAGACTGTAGAATTGGGGGATCGTCATTATTTCACACCTATTCATATTTAGGCTGTATTGAAATTTCAAAATGCCACAAATTAAAATCTGCAAAAAATATGTTCACCCACGTGCTAATTAAAGATATACACAGCAGGTGGGACCAAAATATGAGAGTAAAAATATACATACATAAGACAGAATGATTGAATAGACAGACAATACATCTTTACTTGTCCTTTCCATTCATTTATTCATTCGTTCGTTCGTTTGTGCGTACGTTCGTTCGTTCACGGAATAATATATTGATATACAGTATGTCAGTCGTTCGTTCGTTCCTTTATTTACTTATTTATTCATTATCAGGGACGTGAAAGAGAGACGTCATTGGTTTCAGTCAGGATCCCGTTGTTAACAGAATTCTCGGTCAACCGCTTTACGAAATAGAATTTTTAAAGATTTAAAATGTGGTGAAATAAAACAACATAAAATGTTTTTTCACTACTTCCATCTATATAGCGTTGTTTACGTGGTGTATGGCTTCATAAGTTTATTTGGGTGGTACACGAGATCCTATTTGTTGACTTGATACTATCAGACACCGGAAAGCGGCCTTGCCTGTCGTTTAGACGGTACCAATACTTACATGCTCTGTCACCTTTATCGCCTGTATGTACCTGTCAATTTCTCACCTGACTAATGACGCCCTGTCACACTTCAATAACTGTTTACGTGTGCCCGCTCCATACCTTCCCTAATGAAGATATAAAGTTATTTGTGCACAACTAGTTGAGACGAAACTTTTGCTCACAAACAATGAAAAACCATTGAAGCTTTATCGTCCATTACATCAAAAATAACACCTTTCATCAGAAATTATTTTCTTTTGCGCCGTCAGTTTTTGAAACGGCGAAGTTTCCCTTTCAATAGAATAAGAAGAAAAAACGCTTCTATGCTTTGGTGGTTAGCCCGTTATCAGTATATATCATGGTGATTATAATTTGACTGAACCGATTATGATATGAAATAAAACTTTTTTTTTACATATTGTTGCAATGTGATGCAAGGGTACATGAAAGAAGACAGCTTTCTCAGACGCTTTTCAGCTCTCTTTATGGACCTTATTAGTATGAAATTACTTAAGCTGGCAAATAACACTATTACGTTAAAATAACACGTTATAAATTGTGATGTGACATTATTATGTTTACCATATGACGCATCCTAGACACATCCAACTTACCCTGTTAATGTAAGGAACGACAACTCTGGATACGGTTTGATTTTGAAATTATCAAATTACATAAATTGGAGTATTATATGATATCACTTGTATACCTCTCGATTATGTTATTCAAGACATTCACATTTTTTCGAATATTTCGAAATTCAGTACAACTGACATCAAAGTTGTATTTTTCACATGATAATTTTTTATATCATCATAATTATAGAGATATATCTCAGTCCGTGACTATATATTGTATTATTGAAAAAGAAATCTTCAAATATGACATATTTGCTATACATGTAGAATTAATCTTGTATTCTTCTATTGTTTCCTTAAATTCAGCATTTTTCACAAGAGAAAATTGTTTACGAAGGAATTTTTTTAATGGTGTAATTCTATGCATAAATATAGAAACCAAAAATATGAATTTTTTTTAACATTTTAGCAATTTGGACCCTGCCTTGCCCCTGGCAAGTTTTTAGGAAGCAAAGTGATATTGATAGAATATATAATTCTAATTGACAAATAAATTATTTAGAAAGAACTGCAACAATTTCAATTTTCTAATGAGCTTATTAGATTAAAGTTTGTGTTGATCGAAACCATTATAAAGTTTACCAAGACCTCCCACAGAATATGATGAGTTCTGACCTGTATCGGTTAAGTGATTCCCATGTCCCTGTGATAGAAAACAACGATATCGATCTGTGGAATCAGTTTCGATCCCCGTCCTGCGTCCTTGTTCTGCCATGTGGCACGATATCTCCACGAATCTCTCTGATGTTGATTGTTACTGTTTTTAAAAATTCTTACAGATGATGAGGGAGGAATACATCTCGAAATATTTAAGGTTACCCTATCATAGTGTACTCTTTCATCACTTTGCAACAAACGAGAAAGAGAGCTTGACCGGAAATCGAACCCAAGTCCTTCAAAGACGAAGCAATTTTCTACCGATTACTATTGAACTGGAACCCTCATTATGTCTTTTAAAAATGTAAATAATTAAAATTGATGCACATTGGAAAGTTATGCGTTTAAAGTCGATCGTTGTTTCGCATCCAATTATGCATTTTCTCCTGTCTGAATAAGGAGCGGTCTACTCGGCGTCACAAAGCTAATGGACCTAATGAAAATTGTGACAATTTACTCTTAACGTCTTAGCAATCAAATTTAAGTCTGCAGTAATAGCATGTGGTCGGTTGTCAAGGCTATTTTGTTTTTATTTCAAAGATACATTTTGAAAAAAAGTGTTCAAGCGCTTTATTTTCCCATTAAAAATCAAGTGTGCGCAAAAAGCAATCACCATGGGCAGAACGGGCTCGAAAATAGTTCAAGCGAACATTGACTTAAGGCTATATGCCACGTTCAAATGCATGCCTATGCAAATAGGAGTTGTCTCCCTTCAAACAATTTCGTTTTACCTTAAATACAAGGAAAAGAACATTCATCACATTTGTTCGATTTACTTTATCCATAACTGTATTGCATTAATTATACATTTTATTGTACATGTCATTTCTACTCTGGATGTCTATGAGGTTTTTTTATGAAGAGTGTGGGGAAGTTTTACAGTCGTCTCTGTGATACCATAGAGAGATGTATTTCTTTATGCTAAATGAAGTTATATGTGTTCGATGCTCATAAGTATGCCTGATGGTTTTGTTGTTCCTGTCTTATTTTTTAGCTCATTCTCATTTGAGAACTTGACATTACTTATCAGTGTCCACAAAGATTGTATTCGATGGGTGTCGCTGTTTCAGCACGGAGCTTATTCTCCGTGTTCTTTCTTTGGTTTATATTTTCCACCGTTTGAACGATTTAAGGTTGGAATAAAGATGATTTTGATATGTTGTTCTTTACGCAGTCATTTTACAGTGCTAAAATGAATGTAAATTTTGAATTGCTACCTATCATTTTTCGTTATGAACGTTTTCAATTCGTACAATCTTCTATCAGATATAGTAGCAGTACACTGCAATGATGATGGCAGATGACCTTGAAAGTTGTCATAATTCTTATTTCTACTTTTTGTTCTTGCAACCAATAAATTCTTTTTCAAGCAAAAATATATGTCGATGATCATTAAGAATACGACTCTTGACAAGTAGTTATTTTGTTCGTAAGTTAATTATATTTTACAGAAACATTATGTTTGCCCTTTTAATCAATATCGGGAGGTGGTTTTGTGTAATAAAAACACGGACTTCAACTAGGATGTAACATTTCTGGTAATATTGCAGCATTACCAGCGACATATCATTATAGATATTTATAGATACGATGTAAATAATGACAGTTTTTCTATCTACTGATGTAATCAGTCAGTCTTCTGTTGGAGTTATAATCAACTTAACTAAGCTTATTTACTACATAGACATGCAAATTTCGTTCAAATTACTCAACAGAAAATTAACAATGCAATAGAAATGTTCACTTAGAAAACAGTATTTTGGCATAGAGTTGAAAAAACCGTGAATTTTAGCGACATTTACAAAGATTTTGTCTGCAGTAAATAATTTTGAACCGTTTACAAATCCTTTCAAGTTTGGTAAAATTTACATGAAAAATATTGATTTTGTGTTATTAGCCAGAAAAAGCTGGAAGAATAAAAACATCACATCACAGCAGTTTGTATCAGTACTGTTAAGTAGTAAAATCTAAGGGGGAAATGCATACCTTTAAAAATATTTTTTCTAAATTTTCGATTCAGTTTCGTAAAGCTGACAAATCTTGAAACATTTGGTTCTTGATAAAACTTCTATGATTTCTCGTACGAGATAGTTTCTCCAGCTGGTGTTGACGGAGATAACCCAGATTTGTAGGGCCTATAGAGGTAGATAAATACTCCACTATCTTAAAAAGCGAAATGTATTGTCCTAAATCGCAAACTAATCTAGTTATGTACACTACAATTGGTTTACTGTACAGGGTCCAGCTTCTGATATATATGTTTACATGAATCTGGTTAAAGTTGTAGTGCAGGAAACAAGGATGAGCCGTTTAATTACTAAATACGTCCCATACTGCTGGAAGTATCCGTATCGTGTAAACTGTGGTTTGCAGTAATGACAGATACAGGTAATGAGACGTAGGTATAAATCACAAATATAACCTAATTATTTAAGTATACGCCAAACTTACTTCATGTTTTCAAACGACTTCTGATCATTCACATGAAATTTTACTAAAATTGCAAAAAATATAAACACGGCTCCTTATTGAGTAAAAGTAAATTATGTTCATTGGAATTCAATTTAAGCGTAACTCAATTTACCCTTAATGGCATATCATCGAAATGGGGTACCTTGAACTCATATAATTTGATTATGTTGTGAAAGTTCATAAAACTAACAGCACTTTATTAAAAAAGGCAAGTAAATAAACATAATTTTGATCCTTTTCTAAAACGATGATTTTATGACAAATTCTAAAAAATCTCATGGGCTTCAAAGCACACATACAAACAAAACAAAAACAAAATCGAAATCACACGAATGTGCAATTCAGATAGCGGAATCCACAGCTATTTATCTTTGTAGGCGTGCATGTCTCTCTTTGCCGTTGAAAGCGTACCTTTAACGTGTATTTGAAAGGGATCTTTTAGATCAGTTCAAGTATGAAAGCGAACACACAAGACCAAATATTTAATAGACCGTCCGGACATGCGCGCGGCGGGATTACAAGTGAAGTAACAGTTTCCTCCAGCAGTTGTTAGTGAAAACGATGGTTTGACATGGACGAGGATGGAGTATTCTACACTGGCGACGAGTTCTCTCGCCCTGATCCTCTATCTTAATACTTTGGACGCGGATTTCGCTTATGATGACAGGTGGGTACCTACTTTTCTATCAGTGAAACTGTCAGTTGTTAAAATTGAGCGAGCGGCTCTGCCATCGTAACGTTATATACACATACATGTGTCATCTGCTATACAGCATTGTAATAACGTACTCCCAGCTATCGAGCCGTATCGGAGGTGGTATAGATTTCGTGAGACCCGGTATGGCTAAACCCTTTTACAAATATCTTTTCATGTGGTTCTTTGAGTAAATACCTTAGTAGCCTGTTATAGGAATTGTGAGATTTTTCAAGTGAAAGTGTTTAGTACATTTTCGTCCTTTGCTGAAGTTGTTGGTGTCCCGAGTAGATCTATAAAGAGACGCGCCTAACAAGCAGACGACAGATGAGATAAACAGCGAGTTTGACCGCCCCCTCACCTGTACGGCTAAAATTGACCACAAGTTGTCTATCCAAGATAACAATCCAGAAAAATATTGATCACCACCTTATTAAGATTGAAACTATTCCTGGACAAATTCAACTCAAATCAAAAGTATGGTAAATCAGTAAGGTGATGAGATGAACAGATTATGAAAAAGAAAAAAAAACCAACAAAAATCAATTAAATTTTTGACTCAGTTTTAAAAACAACTCTTTTGTTCATTAAACAATAGTGTCAAAACAAATAAACATTGATGCTATGTTGTAGTTTTAGGTACTTTTTCATACAAGCAAAAATTAATTAATTCATATTTGATTTCTTAATAAGGCACAATTTTATTTTTTTTAATAATAGGAAACAAAAAGTAAATGAGTCATCAAAGTATTAGCATCCTCTCCTTATGTCAGTAACACACTGAGGCATTCCAGAAACGTGTTGAGCAGCTGAACATTCTTAGAAGAAATGACTGAATAGAAAATTCAGGTTTTTGGATTATCACTGTAGAAAAGGATCTGTCTTCTGAAAAAATTAAGTCTTAAACACACACATTAACAACTGATGGTTAATACACAAACATTTCTTTTTTCCCCATCCCAAGTTTTGTGCTTTTAAAAGAAATGAACATTTTCATTTAATTGTTAAATATTTCTTACTTAAGAAATTGATTTTGAAATTTATCATGGTGTGAATGCCATTGTTATTCATTGTTTAGCTTTAGACATATCGGAAATCAAACAGGTGGAAAACGAGATAAAAGTAAAACTTCTGAAGAAGAAAAATATGGGTGATATATATTATATAGCTATGTAAAATTCAGTTTATTTTCAATAGAAACTTAATAAGATAATGCATATCATTGTATTGTCAAAATCAATTTCTTGGTGGATAGACGAAATGGTGAATGGTTCCAAATGGGAAAAATTGGGTACTACATAATTTTGTCAAAAACGCCAGGGTTTCCTTCTGCCTTGCATTTCCACTTATTCAGTTCTGCCATGTACACATGTGAAAGCGATCATTGGCGACTGCAGAAATTCATGATTAGTTTAAACAGTCCATTGTTGTCGGTTCATAACTATCATAAATGTATTCTTCAACTCTTTAATATCAATCGAGGGGCAATCATTTTTGTTAGTTTCTTAGAGAATACTTCATATTTCCTGCCAAGTCATTTTATTATATATATCCTAAAAGTCATTAAGTCTATACTTAAAGCTAAGAGATGCCAGTTATACATTTTGTCAGATCACAAATCAGTGTAGAATGTCTTTTTAATGGTTATGTTTACCGAGAACTGGAGAATATACATTTCAAAAATTCATTGACATATGTACATGTTATAACTTTGTGGCCATTGAAATTTCATTTTTACATCAATAAGACATAAATTCATACTTGTTTTTTAATTAATTTTAAAATTTAGATATAAAAAATGCTTCATCTGTTTGCAGAAAATTAGGCATGTGGATTGAAAGTTTTGTTTAACAGGTAGGGTTATCTGTAATAAAATGTAATTTTTGAGCATTTTCTTATTTCTAATCCTGCTGTAAAAATCAAAATGAATTTGTTTAAAAGTACAAAGTTCCTAGTATATATATAACCTAAAGTATTGAACTTGTAAATAGAATACAGGCAATAATCTTTCAACAAATCTTTTTTTCTATTAAGTCAGTTCTGATAAAATTGGGTAAAAATAAGCCCTTAAAATGTATTTTTGCTTCAGGATATGTTTTTCTGGATAGAATTTTAAAATAATCAAGGAAGATTTTGTCTATTGCTACTGTGTAATATGTGTTCAGTTGAACTAGAGTGTTGGTCTGAGTGAAAAAAATACATTACGATTTATGGGTATTATGCTGTGGGGAAGACTCTCCACAAATTAATTAATTATATATATACACACATGATGTTGGATTGTGACATGATGATATATTGTTGTTGTCCTGTAAAAACTCGTAACTGTACCGCCTTTATTGTTCTTAGGTTTTCATAATTAGAGGGTCAAAACTATTTTCTGGTAATATATATTTCTAAAATGAATATGATAATTAAGCAATAAGGAAACTCCATGGTGAATTGAAATGGCGATTACTTGTACATTTCAACATGGGAGGGGGGGGGGGGCGATGATAGTGATAATATGTGAACACAGAAAAACTGCATTGTTGTTCCACAATCAGCAGACGCTGAAGCCCATGAAATTAAACATGTATGAGTGCCTTGAAACATTTACTTGGGCAGGGATTGGGATGGGATGGGAGCTGGCTGATTTCTAAACATTCTGAAATTGTCTTGTCATACTTTTAGTTTCTGGGACAAGCCCCTGATCTCTAGAATATTTTTATAAAGATTAACTAAAACTGAAATTATATTTTAGATCCCTTAATCAAGGCTTATTATAGGTACTCTGAGTTTTAATGAATGGTAAATTAGCTAGTAGATGAAAAGTTAAGGACAGCTACTAGACATACAAGCAGGTTCTCTAAAGCTTCTCAAACCAAATATTGGCTTCTTAAAGCCATAGAAATTGTCTCCTTGAAGTCCTTGCAGATAGCAGGATCAGCCACAGAACATGGATCATCAGGAGATGTGTGCTGAGGACAGTGACCTTATACAATGCTGTCTGTCTCTTTGTTACCTCATCTACTGTACTACAATAATAAGTTAATGGGATATTTATACATTGGCACCAACAGCTTATTGTTTAAATAACATCAAGTTGCAGTATAATTCACTTGTTAAATTTTGAATCACTTGTAGTTGAGTTTTCAAAGTACATTTTTCATTTTTTTTTCACATCAACTTATTTTGTTCTTAGGTTTTAATTAACTTTGCTGTTTATTCAGAATCCCCTAAGGCTTATATCATATAGGATTTATTATGAAATGGATTGGAATCGCCACAACTTTTGACATAAAAGGAAAATACAAAAACCATAAAAACTGTACGTGAAATATTTTGATATATAGTCTCATATCAATTTCATAAAAAGATGATTCATAAGAAGAATTAAAAGGCAAGTAACCTTAGGGTAAATAGCTTTATTGAAAAATGATTTATCTATGAAATCAGGCTTTCTGAATTAAAAATTGATTGTATATACCCTGTAACACCTTGTTTACTGTAAAAAGAAGTTGTATCACAGAAATCATTATAACTGTCCCCATTTAAAGTCAGGTATCCAAAAATTATGTTATTTATCTGACAATAAGCCCATGTCTGGTAATAAGCCTACCCTCATATATACTACTGTTCCAAAATTATAAATGTCATTTCATTGTCCTGTGAAAAGCCCACCCTCTGACTTTGACAGAGCTGATACATTTATACCTCTGTATTCATCTTTATGAAGATCAATCTTCTGTTTTTATACGCCCGTCGAAAGATGGATGTATTATGGTATGGCCCTGTCCATCCGTCCGTCTGTCCAGGCGTCCGGCATCCGGCGTAAACTTTTATTTGTCCGGAGATCTCCTCCAACATTTTTCAGTCTATCTTTATGAAACTTGGTAGGCTTAATTACCATGATATGAAATTGTTTTTTCCTGAACGGGGTTTTGATTTGGTGATTTGAACAAGAGTTATGGCCCTTTGTTTATTTCACTATAGAAATCTTGTCCGGAGATCTCCTCCAACATTTTTCAGTCGATCTTTATGAAACTTGGTAGGCTTAATCACCATGATATGAAATTGTGTTTTTCTGAATGAGGTTTTGATTAGACGATTTGAATAAGTGTTATGCCCCTTTGTTTATTTCACTATAGAAATCTTGTCCGGAGATCTCCTCCAACATTTTTCAGTCGATCTTTATGAGACTTGGTAGGTTAATCACCATGATATGAAATTGTGTTTTCCTGAACAGGGTTTTGATTAGATCATTTGAATAAGAGTTATGCCCCTTTGCTGTTTGCGATATTCACAGGCGTATTTTGTTCCGCTTTGCAGTACTCTTGTTGATCAGTAGATATGAAGAATGATTAATTTCCATCGTGGATCATTCAGGGAAAAAAAAGGACTGTTTTCTTATATTTTTAAAGAAAATCCTAATGAAAATTTGGAAAGTTTGTTTATGTAAATTCTCTTGATCCAATATGCAATACATATACACAAATACATAAATCTTATAAAGATTTTAACATAAATCCAAATGCTCTCGCACTACCTGTAATACATGTACAATATAGACTAGCTGTCATAAAAATTCAGTTTACAATAATGTCATTTTAGAACCAACAGAAAATGAAACATATCTTCAAACATGCAAGACACAAATAATTTTTTTAAAAATTTCATTTCAATATAACATCATAATTTTAGTGTTCAATTAGTTCGGGAACCCTGAAAATTAGTGATGTTAAAGGTAATTGATTTTTGTATGGTTGGTTTGTTGCATCATTATTGGGATCTGATAATGATCAACACATAAGGTAATATAGATATATAGATAAATGTATATGAAGGGATGTTTTTATTAGGCAGGTTTCTAATTATAGTTTATGATTACCTGTGAAGTTGTTATATTGGTGAATGCCTTAAGTGTTCACAACATATTGGTGAGAGTTTTATATGAAGTGCTTGACAGCTAGCAGTTCGTTTAAATTACATAA